AACCCTTAAACCCTAAACCCTCAACACTTAAACCCTAAACCCTCAACCCTAAACCCTAAACCCTCAACCCTAAACCCTAAACCCTAAACCCTAAACCCAAAGTCCTACACCCTAAAATCTACACCCTAAACCCTAAACTCTAAACCCTACACCCTAAACCCTCAATGTAAAACAGCCAGACCTCCGAGGTCCCGACAGCCCTCTCCGGGGGATCATGGAGCCGAGGAAGCTCCTGTTTAAAAGGTCTTCGCTGGGCTTTGAAGTAGGGTTTAGGGTACGGTTTAGGGTTTAGGGTTTAGGGTTTAGGGTTTAGGGTTTAGGGTTTAGGGTTTAGGGTTTAGGGTTTGCGGAGAAAAAAGTATAGACTTTTATCTCATAATGGTTCCTTTAAGGAAGAGGTCCCCCAAAACAAGTATTAAAGTATGGTACTCCAAAGCCCAGTGATTCGGCAGGCTTCAGAGAGTTTTAAACAAGGGCCCTTAGGGTTTAGGGCTTTGGGGTTTAGGGCTTTAGCGCTTAGGGTTTATATAGGGCTTTAGGGTTTTAGGGTGTAGGGTTCCAGGGCTCAGGGGTCAGTGTTAAGCCCCAAACCTAGACCCTAAGCCTCTTGACCCCTGATGCCCTCAACCTACAAACGTCATAAATCCTAAGCCCTAAACCCTAAGCCCGAAGCCCTAAACCCTAAACCCTAAGCCCTAAGCCCCAAACCCAAAGCCCTAAGCCCTCAATCCCAAATCCTCGCGCCCTTGGCTGATGCCCTCAACCTACAAACGTCCCAATCCCTGAAGCCTGGCCCTGGGGGTCCAAAGGACCCAAAGTTGGGTACTTCGGTTTAGGGTTTAGGCTTTAGGGTTTAGGGTTTAGGGTTTAGGATTTAGGGTTTAGGGTCTAGGATTTAGGGGTTAGGGTTTAGGATTTAATAGGCTGGTAGGTTGGTATTTGGGAGAAATCAGGCGCTTGGACTTTTCAGGCTAAACCCACAAACATTCTAAAGTCTTCGACCCGAAACGCCTCAATCCCGCTAAACCCTAAACCACTCGACCCTGAACTCTTAACCTTAAGCCTTAGAAGGGGGCACTCTTCGAACGGGGGTTCTCTCTAAAAGCGTACCTGTAGGGTTTGGGGCTTGGGACTGCTGTCAGAATCTCTAATCTCTAATGGGGGAGATAAGGGCCTTCAACATTGGACTAGGCTATTGGGGGTGTACTATAAGGCCATTATGATAAAGACGCCAAAACGAGGATGGTATTCGCTTGGCCCTTTACCACCGCTCGACAGAGTCTTACAACGCTTTGGAAGATGTCTTGAAATTCTATCGGAATTTTTTTACAAAGTTCACCAAGGGTTTTATGGGGCACAACGTAGTGGCTTTCAATCGAGGGCCTCTTGAAGATACCTTAAGGACCCTAAACTATGGGAATTATGGTATATTCCTTATTTTGGGCAATGCCGGATTTAGATCATCAGCCGAGGGCTTTTGTTGAAGGCCTTCCTAGCAGTTCTCGTTAAAACACCAGAGTCGGTTTGGGCTTACAGTAAGGTCTACGCAAGGTTGTACCCCAAGTATGTAATTGCTTTTTGCGTTTTTTGGAATTCAGGGTTTAGGGTTTAGGTCACGAGTTGTACCCCAAGTTTTTAATTGTTTTTTTTGGTTTTGTTGGATTCAGGGTTTAGGGTTTAGGTCAGGAGGCAAAGCAGGGTTTAGGTCCTGAGGTTAGGGGTCATCTGAAACCCCCTGCCCAACCAGACGTCTGAAGCCCCTTAAAACCCTAAACCCTAAACCCTAAACCCTAAACCCTAAACCCTAAACCCTAAACCCTTAAAACCCCCAAATCCCAGACCCCGATCTCCCACCCCAGAGGTTGAAAGAACCGAAAGTCGTTCGACAGCAACTTGGCATCTAAGCTCGACGCATCACCGAAACTGAAACACTGAAGGGCGTAGGGTCGAGCCGTCGAGCCCTATGAAATCGTACAAAGCCCTACAGCAAGCCTGTTCAAAGCCTATGGAAACCTCATGTACGGCCCCGTCGGGGCCTTGCGTAGGATGGCTTTGATGTAGAGCTCCTGGCTACAATGCTCTACCCGTGGCCCTCAAAATGCGCACCAAGGGTTCGGCTCTTCTGTCGCAGTTTGAGGGCTTGGGGTTGACGCTGAAGATAGGAGCCCTATAGTAAACCCCGTAGCTCTAAGCCCCTGTAGACCTAGCCCTAAACCCTATAAACCCTAAACCCCCTAAACCCGAAACATCAGGCGGTGCCCCTTTTCTGTTCGGCAGTCTAGCAGAATCTCAAGTCTCAGAACTCTACGGACGGACTCATTTTGCGTGGGGGCATTGCAGGGCCAGTGTAGTCAGAAGAGGCTTCGGGGGTTTACTGGGGTGTTTTAGGGTTTAGGGTTTAGGGGTTGAGGGGTTTAGGGTTTAATCATGGTCTTTCAGGGCGTGTGAAGGAGTAGTACTCCGACTTATTCCGTCTCCGATATTGCCAGTACATCGACCAATCGATGATCTAGACAAGCTGGAATTTCCGGAGTTAACCCTCACTACTTTCCATGTGCCAGCCCCAACAGTGGGATTTCAAAAGCAAAGAAATTTGAAGCCTCCGGCCCGGTGGCGCGTGCTTTGGAATGGCAATTCCGGTACGTAGTGACGTAGTAATCATGTACGCTCAACCCACAAAAGTACTATCTTAGACGCAAGTACCTGATCGCATAAGACCCTGTAAGAAACCTTAAAATCCTTTATAGAAGCGGTTTAGAGTTCAGGGTTTGGGGCTTATAAGAACCCCCAAGCCATCACTACTGGGCCCTTCGGACCGTTAGGGATCATGATCCCGCCACAGTCTGCTGAGCATTTATATGGCTCATGGGCTGGTCTTGGTGGATTTAAGGCTTCCGCTTCAGAGTTTAGGCTTTGCCCATAGGCCCCATAGTAGTTCCTTTTTTTGGATTATATTTGGGATACTAATAGGTAAATCCCAAAAAGGAACTACTATGGGGCCTATGGTTTGAGCCTGTTAGGGTCTAGGCTAGTAGGATTTAACGCTCTGAGGGTTTGGGATGGTGGGCTTTAGGACTTGTAAGGTTGAGGTTTACGGCTCAGGGCTTTGGTTTTAGCTCTTAGGCGTCGGTTTCAGGGCTTAGGTCGCCAGGTTTTCTTTGGAATGCTTTAGGGCCTCAATTAAATGTATGAAAGCCATCTGCAAGTGCCATCAGATGTTCTTGCTGCTTGTCATGCTTTCTGTCTCTTCTCCAGCCGCGCTAAACCCTAAACCCTAAAGCCTAAACCGTCTCGCTTCCGCCGGCCGTTCGGCCAACTTATCCGCCTCTTTCACCGCCTCCGCTAAGCTAGGGAGGTTTTCGCAGTCGTCGGTGTGGCTCTTCTTTAACGCTTTCTTCGCTTTCTTGGGCAGCTCCACCGACAAAATGGGGGTTTAGGGCTTAGGGTTCAGGGTTTAGGGTGTACCTATAGTCTCCATTGTAGTTCCTTTTTTTGGCTTAACAACCAATTATATAGTAAGGATTTTATAATGTATCCCCAAAAAGGAACTACAATGGAGACTACAGCTAGGGTATCTTTCTACCTTGGGCCTGGTAGGCCCTACGCAGCCGCACAGTCACCGCCACAAGCAACAGCAAGTGTCCTCGTGCCTCAGGCATGAACTGTAGGGAATATACCGGCACCATCCGACCTATGGGGGTGTTACCCTAACCCTCAAGCCCAAAGCACCAGAACCCCCCCCCAGAAACCTCCATAAACCCCTATGAAAGCCCTGTAAACAAAACACCGGTCCTTGTGATCCCTTCCCCCGTGCACTAACCTAAACACACTCCCAAACCATAAACCCAATCTTCGGGAAAAACTGACATGATTCCTCTGTCACAACCTGACAAAGCACTACTTGGTTGAAGAGCAAGAGCAGGAGGAGGAGCAAGAGCAGGAGCAAGAGCTAACCTCAGACCTCAAAGCGCTCAAACTCGGATTTAGGTTTTCGGGGTTCAGGGCGAAGCCGTAAACCCGAAGATCCCCCAAAATCCTAAACCCAAGAGCCCCAAAAAACCTAGCTAAACCCCTAAACCGTAAACTTCTTAGATTTTTTTGCCTCTGACGAGGTGCCGCAGACATAGGGGGATCGAGGTCCTAATCTTCCCCCCCCTGCAAGAGCCGGAGCAAGAGTGAGGGGTTTAGGGTTTAGGGTTTAGGGGTTCGGGTCTAGGGTTTAGGGGTTCGGGTTTCAGGTTTAGGGGTTCGGGTTTACGGTTCAGGGTTTAGGGGTTCAGGGGTTCAGGGTTTAGGGTTTAGGGTTTAAGGGTTCAGGGCTTTAGGGTTTAGGGTATACTGTAGGGGCCAAATTCCTGAGGCCCCTATATTAGCAGCAAGCAAGAGAAAGAGCAAGAGAAGCAAAAGGAGCGGGGAGGAGCAAGAGCATCCCTCAAAAGAAACATTAGAGATTAAAGGGTTTAGGGTTTAGGGTTTAGGGCACACCCTACTAACAAAACTGTCCGAATCTTTTTTGGGGGGACTGGACATCCACCCCCACGCCTCCGAAGCCTCTGACAAAGCTCCAAAGTCGCTCACCTCAGTTCAACTTCCATAGGATTAAGGATTCCTTTAAGGCTTCCTTTGAGGGTGTAGTGTTTCTTTATAAAGGTTCGTCTGAGGGCCTAAGGGTGTAGGGTTCCTTTAAGGGGCCGTTTGAGTGACATCCGCTCTTCCGCACCCTGACCCATTGCTGCACGGCTTGTGCTTCTGGACTATAACTGGGCTTTGAAGTAACCAG